TTCCAAAAATTTTCATGTTGCCTTTTGTATTATTTGCAATTACATTTCAGCCTGAGGACTCATCCAAGTTTACTGACAACTTGTGCATAAAAAAAAAAGAAGTTTGACTCATTTTTAGTGTAAAAGTTTCTCTGATGACAAAATAGTGCATATGCACACTTTAGGAAGTTCACCAAGAAAGAAGATGGGCTGGGACCAATGAAAGTTCGTCTTGAAGGAAGTCACTGGAATCTGAGAAGCCTTGGTGGGTTACACGCCTACAGAAAGGAACACTGTTGCCAATTGTTGCCTTTCGTTGTGTTCTTCCACGCCATGCTCAGTGAGTTGGTACTAGAGGCTCCACCAGTTGGATTTAATCGGGGAAGCAGAACCTGGTGAGTGATGTGAAATAAAGGGTTTATGAGAGGGATCAGAACTCACACACCTGTGGGAGAAACTAAGGAAGTTAAGTGTCCAGAACCTGATGAAAGTCTCTGGGAGGCCATTGCCTCTGCATCTGACCAGGCCCGGAGCCTGTCAGCAGGGCAGGGGGCCAAGGGGAAGGCTGGATGCAAAGTGGGAGAGAGCAGGGACCAAGTGTGAGCCTTGAGGGTGAGCCGGAACCCACAGGGGAACCTGCCCTATATGTCTGCCTCTCACCGCATGGATCCCCAGAGCTGCAGGAAGGAGCCGGTGCCCAGCCCCAGACTCAGAGACCCAGCAGGAGCTGGAGGAGCTGTGGGCCCACCTGCTACTGCACACCCAGGTGAGCCACTGATGAGCATCAGTGTACATGACCTGCTGGGAACCCGTGCTCAGACCACCGGCCCAGGGCCACAGCTGCAGCTGCCCTGCTGCACTCCACATCTCATGAAAATTCCTCTGTGGCCAACCCTCAACCAGAGCTTTTCAGAGAAATGAAATTCCAGCTTAACTAAGTTGACATAGTACAAAACTACCATAGAGATAGACTCTGAGATTTGAAAAAAGAAGAAGAAAAGGAAGAAGAAGAAAAGGAAGAGGAAGAGGAAAAGGAAGAAGAAGAAAAGGAAGAGGAACAGGAAAAGGAAGAAGAAGGAAGAGGAGAAGGAGAAGAAAGAAAAAGAAACTATAAAGATGATCTAATGTAATCCTTTCCTTATGATAACTGGGGCCCAGAGAGACAGTGGCTGGTCCAATGTCACAAAACTCATGACAGGCCTGGAGGCTTAGTCCCCCGTGTCTCTATCTGGGTGACATCACAGAAAGAACACTGGATGTGAAGTTAAGGTCCCTGAGATTTTGCTGCTATTTAACCTTGGGGGGAAAAATTACTCAAGTCTAGATTCCAGTATTCCCATGGGAGAATGGCGCATGGGCTCGGCCCCACGCATTGAAGGGGCTCAGTGAATATTGATGAATAAATGAATAAATACAGTCTCTCAAGAACAACCATTTGACAAAACTGTTCTATTGCCTAACATAAAAGAAAATGGGCGGAGAGTATAGCTCAGTGGTAGAACACACACTTAGCATGCACAAGGTCCTGGGTCCAATCCCCAGTGCCTCCTCTAAAAAATAAATAAATAAACCTAACCACCTAACCCCCCCCAAAAAAAGTTTAACACAAAAAAAAAAAAGAAGAAGAAGAAGAAAAAATAAGTTCTAAAAAAAAAGGAAACCATGCTCTGGAATCTCAATAGTGAGGAATTCCCGTATATTCTCATGAAATTTATCTGGGGCTAGAGTGGATCACCCGAGTCCTTCCCCCTTTGCAGAAGCCAGGTTTCCAGTCTCTCAGCCATGCAGTAATTAGACTTTCTGCATTCTTCTCATCAGCCCACTGACTTGTACGTGACCCATTCAGCCTGAGTTTTTCAATAGGAGTCGATACCACATAGCTAGAGAAGCAAGACTCCAAAGAACAGCAGTAGGAATCAGCTAGAGGAAGACACAGAGAAGACGCCTAACTATGCATTTGTACGTTTTGCTCACGAATCGGCAGTTTGGACAGAGTTCAACAGGAATGGCTCATCTCCACTCCGTGTGGAGTTACCTGCGCTAGATCCAAAGCCAGGAGCTGAAATCATCCAGAGACTCCTCTCTTTCTGCCAGGGCTACTGGCTGGTCCTTCAACCCGTGGATTCTCCAGTGGTCTCTGCTTCCTGGTGGCGTGATGATTAAGAACAGGACTGAGCCTCCCAAGAGGACCAGGAGGGAAAAGTTATCACCTTCCATGACGGGGACTCAGAAGTCACAGATCATTTCTGCCAGTGTTACAGGCACCCCCAGATTCAGGAGAAGGGAACATAGATCCCACCTCTCAATGAAAGGACTACATTTTACTAGGAACCTGGAGGGTGCAGTATCTTGTTGCCCGCCATCTTGGAAAACACAGTCCATCACGTGATCAAGTTCCCACAAGGACTTGAGACACACAGAGCTCATCAACTAAATGAGCTCTTATCCAGCAACGACCCCAGAGAAAATGTTTATGTGTATAATATATTAACACATGCATATATGCATATATAACAAATACTTGGCAAGGGAGATTAATTCTTGGATTCAACTTGCTTCCAAGATGTTTTTAGTGTTATGCCTAAGGGTAAGGGCAGGGAACTGGGCCACTCAAGTAGTTTAAAATAAAAGGACTTTTTCCCTCATCATCCATCTTCTGTCTGGGAAAAAATAAATAAATAAATCAGGCTGCTGAATTTTAGACCCTTGTCATTTCCATGGTAACAAAGCCTACAATGCTAAAAGGTGGATTATAATTCTTTGCAATAGTTAAGAAATCTGTGTTTAGTCCGTATTGTTTAAAAGTGCATTTCATAGCAGTGGATAACATCACCACTAACCCACCCCTGCGCTAACACACAGAAACGTACTCACACACATACATGCAATGTGAAAGTTTTTTTAAAAAATCCCATAATTCACAGTAAGTGACCAGAAAAATGGGGGGAAGTGAGTACCAGTGAGGCTCTCCTGCTTGTTCCTGGATCAGCTTTGAACCACGTTTACTTGTTTTGATTTTGATCTTAATTAGGTGGCTTTAGACAGAATCTGATCATTTGAAGCCTGGAGAGAAAAATCAACCTTCACAGGCACAGAAGTGAGAATAATCGCTGTGTTTGGAAACTACAGGTAGTTCAGTGTAGCTGGAGCGTAGTGTATGTCGAACAGAGAATCTTATTTTTAATGTTGGAACTTTTAATTATGAAGTATTTCATATGTGCAGAAAAGTATAGAGCATAACGTGATAGCCACGTACTGGCCCCCGTAGTTAACAGCTATTACCCATTTGCAATATTTTTTCTTGAATCTCTTTTTTCTTAAGTAAATAATGTATTAACTATTCAGTTAAAGCCTTACCTATTCATCATGCAACCTTCCCTCCCTCCCCAGAAGTCATCATCCTCTGAAGTTCACGGGTGACCTTTCTAGTGCTTACAAGTGAATCCTACACTCTGTGTCTTTGTGCTTTAAACTTTGTGTATAAGTATTGTTGGGTATAAGCCCTTTTGTAACTCAGCTCTATTGCTCAACATTATGAGTCTTATCTCTAGCCGTGGGGCACAAGCACACCCTAAGGAGAGTGGAGGCGAGCATTCCGTATTGCACAGATGGTTAATCACTTATTCAACTCAATTTATGGTTCACCTAGAGAGTGAGTTGATGGTGACAGTTTTTGCATGTGTAGGAAATGTTAACTGCCATGCAGACAGGACCAGACACCAGAAACTCAAGTGAATACAGGGAAAAGAAAATAGAGTTGTTTGCACTGGGGTCCATGTATTTCTGAAGTCCATGTGCTTTCTCTCATGATCCGTGCAGTGGGAACAGTGACTGGGGCTGCATGGTCTTGACAATTATACCTTAGAAGCCCAGTAACTGGCCAGCAGGCGGTCTAACTAGATGGGCATTTTGACTTGTGCTGCATCTCTGAGCTTCCGTCAGGGACCCCCGCTGATTCCTCGTGTCCTAACCCTCCGTCTCCCCTTCCCACCCCTGCAGATCTTCTCTCATGCTGGGAACTTTGGGTCTTGGCTCATGTCACTCTGTTCCCTGCAGGCTGAGAGACCTGAAGGGCTGGGTGGATGACATCCACTTGGGTTCCTCCCTGTCCTGCCCTGTGCATACCCCACTTCTGTTCCCTGCGGCCGGGAGAAATGCCTCACTTGATGTTCTGTTCAATTGCCAGTTGCAGTTTGATGGATGTGGAGTCATTTTAACTTTTTGTGCATTGTTAAAATAAAGGAACTGAAGGGGAGTTTGTTTTCAGGACCCAAAACTGAGTCACTGATTTAATATCAGATATTGAATAGCTAGTACGTGTACTTCATCTCTCTTCTCTGTTTACCATATTACTCTCTGAACGTCTCGAAGAAACTCTTTACATGCAGGAGCTCTGAAAACAGAGGAAGGAGACTGTGCACACATTTTACTTTTGAAGTGGCATTTACTTATTCAGTAATAACCTGCTAGATTAAAGTTATATTGACCTCATGTACTGTCAACTAATTATATTTTATTTCTGCTGCATTTCCAAGTGTGTAAAGCTAAAAACAAGTGACTACATGCAAATTACACTGTGTGAAGCCTTTTAGGCCATGTTCAAATACTAACAGGTTCAATAAACATATCTGTCTAACAAGCGTAGGACCAAGAGCTCTTCGTTTACTGACATGCTTTATTGTCATTCCGCTGTACGCTTCTCGTGTGGCTGTTTTATAGAACATGAAGTCTAGATGTCCTGTTGGAATCTCAGATCTTATTTACAGCTTGCTGCAAAGTGGCTTATTGTCATTTATTATTTCTTATTTGATTTATATGACATTGTTCCATCAAATTGCCCATGGGTTTATTTACATAAAAGGTGCACACATACACACACACTTGAACTTCACTCGGTGCTGTCATGCAGTTAGCAGTAGAGTGTGGGAGGCTCTTCTGTTTGTTTTTTGTTCTAAGATCATGTCCTGGGCAGGCAGTTGCTATATTTCCTTTCACTCTGAGTATCTGTCGTTTGCCTCTAGGTGGATCGGATCATCTTCTGTGTCTTCCTAGAAGTCGACTTCAAAATCTACAAAAAGAAAATGAGCGAGTTTTTCCCTACAGGTGAGTAAAGCAATTTGTTTCCTTTGGCATTGGGGGGTTGAAGAAGTGAAGGCATCACTTATATGTCTACTACATTGTTTTGCCTCTTAACAGAATGTTACAAATGTGATTTCTGTACACCAGTCACACCCGGCAACTCGTTTCTTAGTTTTTAAGATCTAAAGGAGGTGATGGGAAACCGAGGCTCTTGACTTCTTTCTGCTCCCAGGTCACTGTGTTGTCTTGGGGAAGTCATTTCATCTCTTGAGTATCAGTTCCTCACATCAAAAGGGAAGGCTGGACCAAAGAGCATTTCCTCTCACCCTAAATTACACAGTCCTTGTTTGCTTCCCCACACTTGTGAGTTGTCCAGGCCTGTGCCTGCATCCACTGTGCTAAACGTGTTGCAAATTGTAAGAAGCCCATTTATATTTGTTGTTACAGTTCAAACTGTTCTTGCATTCCATCCCTCTTCTCCCGAATTTTCTCCACCCAAATTGCAGTGAGGATAGCAGTCCTTTCTAGGGCAATCTGAGAAAGGTCATTCATCTTATTTCACACTTCTTTTTGGAAAGTAAGAGAAACCTCAGGGTTCTCAAAGAACCTTGAGTAATTGATTCATGTCGATTGAATATGCCATCAACTGTACTTGGTTCATTTGAATAGTGCCCCTCTCCCGCGGTCCCTCTCCCAGCCTGTGAATGGCTGAGGCTCCTTTAATACCTTGTTATTTTTATGATGCCATTAAAGTTGCCCTAAGCACTTTCTTCAGCCATGGTAAAGGATGGCTTCCAAGAAATTTCAAGCTACTCTGAGCATTGTTGTTGCCTGCCTTTCAGAGAGATTTCTTTTGAGGTTTTCATGTCTGTCTAAAGTGGCTTTTCACATAGCTGGTGACTCTGGTAGGCAGGAAGGAGCAAATTAAGGATGCCGGTGCACATTCACCCTCTTAGGCAGCCTATCAGAGCCCCACAACAGAGAGGATGCTCCACCCGCCTGCAGATCACTAGGACGCAAAGCTACGGAACAGCTACAGCAAACGGCTGGAGATGTTCAACTCTGTGCTCATGATCAAAATGGGCTACGTCCTCCTGGGTAGTTGGAACTCTTCTCTAATTTTATAATTGAAAGGTGAATCTGCTAAGTGTATTAAATTTGGGCATTTACAGTATTTTCCTAACTGGACCATAACATAAATCCAGAAAGACTACCATGTGATGAAAGAATCTTGGTTGTGATCTTTTTTCTCATCCCTTCTCTTTCTCTTTTTCCTCCTTCCCCTCCTTGTCTCATTTTTATTCATCTTTTAAAGCAGTCCTGTGTTTTACAGAATCTAAAGTGCATAATAGCTGTTCAGCAAATAGATGTTGATGTGAGTTGAATTTAGTAGATTCTCCTCCCTATAATCTGATGGTTTTTTCTGTCTCAGTCCCCTTGTTCCATCTTTTCTCTTTATGTTCTACATAATCACAGTGAGCAGATTGTGGCTGGATTTCTGCATTTTTAAGTATTTGAAAAAAAGTGCACATTCATGTAAGAAATGCAACTTGCTATGGTGAGTGATTGTGTCTTGCCAGTATCACAACATAATTGATAAAGTTTTATAAATTTTGGATTCCTTGATATGCTTGGAAATAATGACATCATATTCATTTTTATGTCTTCTGAAATGAAAACTTGTTTTCACTCCAACATATGGCTTAAAATAATTGCATAAATATGGTCCATTGCTATTAAAACAAATCTATCCACCTGCAGTTGTTTGCAATGATGCAAAGCCAAAAATCATACTACAAGTTTTAAAAATGGGACAGTTTTAGTGGTCTAGAATGTATTAATAACTATGCAAATAAATTATTGTTTGAAAATTGCTACTTTAAATACATCCAAAATGCATCTTAGCACTCGAGTGAGTGAAATAATAATAAAATCGTCCTCAGTTTCACATCAATGCTTTGAATCATGCCGTGCTCATGAAATTATTTCCAGTGCGTATTTATAATAGTAAGTACATTCTTAAACTAAATGTCAAAATCCACCAAC